ATGTTGAACATTTTTTCATATATTTGTCGATTGATTATATATCCTCTTCTGAGAAGTGTCTGTTCAGTTCCTTGACCCATTTATTGATTGGGTTATTTATTTATTTTTTTGGGTGTTAAGGTTTTTGAGTACTTTATAGATATCCTAGAGATTAGTGCTTTATCTGATGTGTGTGTGGTAAAGATTTGCTCTCATTCTGTAGGCTCTCTATTCACCTCACTAAGTTTTTCTTTTGCTAAGAAGAAGCTTTTTAGTTTGAATCCATCCCATTTATTGATTCTTGGTTTTAATTCTTATGTTACAGGAGTTTCATTAAGAAAGTTGGGGCCAAAACCGACATGATAGAGATTTTCCCAGCCTATTTTTTTTTTAAAGGCAATGGCTTTTTTTTTTTAGAGAGAGAGAGAGAATTTTAATATTTATTTTTTAGTTATCGGCGGACACAACATCTTTGTTTGTATATAGTGCTGATCATCAAACCCGGGCCGCACGCATGCCAGGCGAGCGCGCTACCGCTTGAGCCATATCCCCAGCCCTTCCCAGCCTATTTTTATTTTGAGACAGGGTCTTGCTGAGTTGCTTAGGGCCTCACTAAGTTGCTGAGGATGGTTTTGCATTTGGGATCCTCCTGCCTCAGCCTCCCCAGCTGCTGGGATTACAGGCATGTGTCTGGCAGGCTGATTATATTCTTATGACAACTCCAAAAGTTGGCTTCACAACTTCATCACCTTAGAGACTTTTTTGCCTATAGTGATTAAATATCCATTTGCATTCCCTCTCCCTCTCCCTCTCCCTCTCTCCCTCTTTCTCTCTCCCTCTCCCTCTCTCCCTCTCCCTCTCTCCCTCTCCCCCTCTCCCTCTCCCCCTCCCCCTCTCCCCCTCCCCCCCCCCTCTCTCTGGTACCAGGGATTGAACATAGGAATGCTTAACCACTGAGCTACATCCCCATCCCTTTTTAATATTTTAGAGACAGGGTCTTGCTGAGTTGCTTGGGGCCTTGCTAAATTGCTGAGGCTGACTTTAAAATCAGGATCCTCCTGCCTCAGCCTCCTGAGCTGTTGGGATTACAGGTGTACACCACTGCACCCAGCTCCATTTGCATTTCCAAGAAATGCCCTCCCACTATTTCACAGCCCTCCTAATAGAGCTATATCAATTTTTTTGTGTACAAATCAACGGTATTTCCATAGAATAGTTTCCATATGGATTATCCCCATGTTAACTTATTAAAACAGATATAAGAGAGGCATTTAAAAAAACATGATGAGGGCTGGGGTTGTAGTTCAGTGGTAGAGCGCTTGCCTAGCTTGGGTAAGGCACTGGGTTCAATCCTCAGCACAACATAAAAATAAACAAAATAAAGATATTGTGTCCATCTACAACTAAAAAAAATCTATTTAAGAAAGTGAATTATCACTGCACACTTATCAGAATGGCTTTTTTTTTTAAAGGTGACAACACCAGATGCTACTGAAGATGCAGAAAAACTAGATCATGCATATATTGTGGGTGGGAATGTAAAATAGAATAGGCTCTCTAAAAAATAACTTGGCAATTTCATAAAAAATGGAACAAATATCATATCATCCAGAATTTGCACTTCTGGATATTTATCCCAGAGAAATGAAAACTCGTTATTACACAAGAAGGTGTTCATGAATGTTGATAGCAACTTATTTCATAATAACACCAAACTGGAAACAGCCCAGATATCCTTCAAATGGTGAATGCATAAAGAAACGGTGGTATATCCATACAGTGGAATGAACTGCTGACACATGCAACAATTTGGGTAAAACCCAAGAGAATCATGCTGAATTGAAACAGAATCCCCAAAAGGTTGCATACTGTGTGATTCTATTTACATAACATTTTTAAAATGACAAAATTATAGAAACAGAGAACAAATTAGTGGTTTCCAGCAGTTAGAGATAGGAGGTAAGGAGAAAATTGGTCCTGGGTCTCAAAAGTCAACAGGAGGGATCCTGTAGTGATAGAGCTGTTTTTCTCCTTGATCATATCAATGTCAATATCCTGGTTGTGATAATGTACTGTATTTGGGGGGGGGTATGGGATTGAATTGAGGGGCATTGGACCACTGAGCCACATCTACAGCCCTATTTTGTATTTTATTTACAGACAGGGTCTCACTGAGTTGCTTAGCACCTCGCTTTTGCTGAGGCTGGCTTTGAACTGGTGATCCTCCTGCTTCAGCCTCCCAAGCCATAGAGATTATAGGCATGTGCACGGCACCCAGGCTAATGTACTGTATTTTAATAAGATGTTACCATTGGGGTTTTGAAACTGGGTCAAGAGTACTCTAGATCTCTCTATATGATTTATTTCAACCACATATGAATCTACATCATCTGAAAAAAAAAGTTTAATTTAAAAAACAGCAATAGCGACAAACAGTGAATCTTCTCTAAGAGAATCATCAGAGTGGAGAGTGGCCTGAAAGTTATGTCCCAGAGTGATGACTGAAGGGTCTGGAGGTGGAGTATCACCTGGAGAAGAGAACTCCTAAGGGCAGTATGTAGACAGCTGCTATGCAAAAGAGGATTAAATAAGAATCCATGGTAAGAAGGTACAAAGAGAAGATTTCATCTACATATCTGGAAGAACATTCTATGACACCTCAGCATTAGGGTAAAGAGGTTTCCAGGACATGTCCTTAGAAGGGGCAAGGTAAGGGTAAGAAAGGAATAATTGTTGAACTAAACAGAAAAGAATAATTCAGCATTTTGCAATTTTCTCCTCAGAGGAACTAGGGGAATTGGAAGGATATTCGGGAAGGTGCTAGGACCTGCTTCAGGTGTGCAAATTACTGCAGACAATGAGAAGGTGGACTGTGTGTGCCCACTTAGGGGAAGGTGCTTGTTAGCTGGGTAAATGCTGGGTTCTTTACTCAGCAGGGTTTGTATTTAGAGGAAAATATTATTCAAGCCAGAATTCATAACTCCTGCACGTCTCACTCAATCAGCAGGACCCCAGAGAGAGCTGAGAGGAATTCAGGAAGATTGCCGTGAGGATAACAGCAAGACACTGGCAAGTGATTTTCAAATGGGCAACTTTGCCCTTTGAAAGGCTGTGCCAGTCACTGGAGTAATTTCAGATGAACAGGCACATTAGGAAAATTACTACTATTATGCATTACAAGGTTACAAAGAACGCATGTGTCCTTTTATAACATCACATGAAAAAAGTCTTAGAAGTGTTGTGTTTTCCCAACTTTGGTGGATGTGTTCTCACAGATTTCCTTCAAGCCTATTTCCCATAATGATGCTGTTGGTGAAGTTCCTGATTTCTACTAGGGCTGGTTGTAAGGCAGGATTTCTTCAAGGATTTGTACAGGAACTTTCTGCTTTCTTTTAGGGGTGGCTAGTGGGCTATATTATTACTGAAATGTGAAGATAATCTGAAGTGTTGCAAGTTAAATCCCATCCTGCCTGTGTCAAAATTGCATGTGATGTGCTGCAAAGAACATCAGCAACAAAGTGCAAAGACAATCTACAGAATGGGAGAAACTGTTTGCCAATCACATATCAGATAAGGGACTCACGTCCAAAATATGTAGGGAACTCTGACCACTCCGTAATCATAAGACAAATACATAGTTAAAAAGTGGCCAAAGGTGTTGGGGTTGTGGCTCAGCGGTAGAGTGGTCACCTCGCACGTATGCAGCCTTGGGTTCGATCCTCAGCACCACATAAAAATAAATAAATAAAATGAAGGTATTATGTCCAACTACAACTAAAAACTAAATATTAAAAATAAATCTTTTGGCCAAAGGATTGCTCCCAAGAAGTTATACAAATGGCAAATAAGCATATGACAATAGGCTCCCCATGGTTAGCCATCAGGGAAATGCAGATTCAAAGCACAATGCTATACCTCTTCACACCCACTAGGATGGTTGTAATAAAAAGGATAGACAATAAGTAGCAGTGAGGATGCAGAAAGAATCCTCCTACACTGCTGGTGGGAACGTCAAATGGTACAGTCACTTTGAAAAACAGTGATAGTTTCTCCAAAGGTTAAACATAGATTTATCATGTGACCCAGAAATCCCACTCTTAGGTATATACCTGAGAAAAACCTATATCCACACCCTGTACAAGTTTATTTATATGAAATGTCCAGAAGAGGTGAATCTATAGAGACAAAGTAAATTGTGGTTGCCTAGGGCTGGGTTTGTTTGGGTTGGGAGGTAGAGACTAATTTCTAATGAGTACTGTTTTTTTTTTTTTGATGGGGATTAAAATGTTCTAATATTGTGGTGATGGCTGAACAGTTCTATGAATATACTAAAAAAAAACATTAAATCATACACTCTTCATGAATGAATTGTATGGTATGTGAATTGTATGTCAATAAATCTTTTACTAGAGAAGAAAACACTCAAAAAACTTGTGACAATGTCTAGTGCATTCTATGATTTAAATACAATTTAACCGTTGCGACTAAAATGGTGGGTTGGAAGCAGAGTGAAGACCCTTTGGGGTTTACAGCATTCCATAGAATCTATTTTCAACAAACAAGGTTGTTACTGGTGCCTCCTAGTGCTTTGTCAAGGTCACAGTGAAAGTCAGGACAAACTGGACTCTTGGACCGGGCTCAGGAAGGCCATGCGTTTGGCAACTGAGGATAAAATGAAGCATCTGTTCTTACCAATGCTGAGTTCAAACTACATCTGTATTTAGTTTGGAATTGAATATTAACGTCAAATCTGTGCTTTGAAAGAGTCTTTACCCTACTTGAAAGCTTCAACTTGTTTAAGAAAAAAGTAATCGGGGCTCCTAATAGTGGTCAGACTAGAGGGATGGAAAAAAAGAAAAGAAAAAAAAAAGGCTTGAAATTCCTGGCTCCGCAACTCCGGGAGCTGCCCAGGGGAGGCGGCAGGGGGCGCCCTCCTTGTTCCTGCCCCGCCGCCCTTCCCAGCCGCCCCCTCCGCTTGCCCTGACGTCCCCAGCCCCCGCCTCTTTCTCGCGGGCCTTCAAAGGGCGCTCGGGGCAGCTGGGCTGGAGCTTCAGTCCGCCTCTGAGGGGACTTTGGCGTCACCTGGCTGCCGCCAGGCCACCTGTTGCTCTCTGGGTCCCGCGTCCCAGGAGCAGGTGCCGGGACTGCGCGGACGCTGCAACTTGTGGCCCCCAGCGGACTCCCAGCCGCCAGCTACTGGCTCTGAGGAGGTTTCGGGGAAGGGCACGCCCGCAGTCACATGGAGAGCGGCAACGGGACGCCCCTGGCCGGGGCACTCGGGGCGGCGGCCGAATCCCCCCAGTGCCGGTTGCCGCCCGGAGGGGAGGGCGCGACGGGGCTGGCTGAGCCCGACCGAGCCGCGGAGGACGCTGCAGCAGGCAGCTGCGGCGGGAGCGGGGGCGGGCCACCGCGGGCTCTGCGGGCAATATACGTGCGCAGCGAGAGCTCCCAAGGCGGCGCCGTCGGCGGCCCTGAGGCCGGGGCTCTGCAGTGCCTGCTTCGGGCCTGCGAGGCTGAGGGCGCCCACCTCACCTCCGTGCCCTTCGGGGAGCTAGACTTCGGGGAGACGGCGGTGCTCGATGCCTTCTACGATGCAGGTGAGGGCGGGTGCCCCCTTTGTCCCCAACCCACTCCAGCTTTCCTTATCCTCCCAGAAGCCATGGCACTCCCTCCCTGGGTCACTACTCTTAGTTCCCCTCCCCGCTCCCCATACTCCCTGAATTTTGGACAAGACCACCAAGGTAGTGTCGTGCCCTTTTAAACATAAGAAAATAGAGGCCACTGGCATTTAGACCCTTTATCCTTCAGTCTTTTAAAATATCCCATAACCCAAGAAGCAGCCAGTAACCCAGATGATGCTGAACATCCCTCCCCCACACACAGCAGCAGCCAAAACCCCAGTTCTCCAACTTTTCTCACTCCTGGCATGCCCCATACTGGCATGGGTCCCAGTTGCAGGATTCACATTAGAATCACCTGGGGAGCTGTTAAAACTCTCCATGCCCACCCCAGGCCAGTGACAACGCGGCACGGAAGCCTCAGGGGTGCTTAATGCTTCCCAGTGATTTCACCCAAGAGCTGGAATCGGTGTCTTACAAGTGGTGTGGTTTTCGCCTCTTAGAAATACTCCGGTATTCTTTTGCACAATTTAATTCCTGGCACCAACACATGCTGATGGTGGGGTGTATTCTACCACAGTGTATAAGCATTCAGGGGTTCAAGGTCTCCATTGCTGGAGTTGGATACTAGGTCTCTAGGTAAGTGTGCCCTACCAATTCAGCCTTCAAATCAGTACATCAAGTTGGAAGAAATTTCTCCAGGTGTGCAATGAGTTGTTTTTTTCTTTTAATTTTTTTAAGTTGTAGATGAACACAATATTTTAATTTATTTTATTTATGTTTTAGTTTTCGATGGACACAACGTCTTTATTTTTATGTGGTGCTGAGGATCGAACCCAGCGCCCCGCACATGCCATGCTAGCACGCTACCGCTTGAGCCACATCCCCAGCCCTATTTTGTTTATTTTTATGCGTTGCAGAGGATCCAACCCAGTGCCTCACATGTGCTAGGCAAGCATTCTACCACTGAGCTACATCCCCGGCCCCTGAATTGTTTTTCTTATGATGCAACTTTGGTGACAAGCTTTTGGCATTTGAGTGACATTTATAAGCATTAGATGTGAGATAGTAATTACCTGGGAATCCTTGTCTTCCACTGGTCAAAACGGAGTAACAGTGTCTACCTTAAACCTAAAATCGTATGAGAAGATCAGTGGGGGATTGCCCTTAAATTCTGGGCATGCAGTCCTGTCATAGTACTTAATTGTATGTGTTTCTGAGTGGTGTTGGGGATGGAACCCAGGGCTTCATGCATGGTAGGCAAGCACTCCACCACTGAGCTACACCCTCAGCCCAGATAATTCTCTTTTTACTGGTGGCAGCATGGATGTGGTTCTTCTGCGGAGCAAATCCTCCCCAACTGTAAGGGGGTGGGGTGTCAGGCTTGTTTAAACAAGTGGCAGCTGGACCCATTGAGAAAACACTCTTGACATTTTTGACTGTACTGACTATACCCTTCAGCACCTCATCTTTTTGAGAAGTTGTTCGGGAGGCTATTCACCTAGAACTACTTGGTTTTCTCCACTTCTGTTCATTCTACTCCAAGGTTAAAGCTTGATCAGACCCTTCTCTGAATGTCCCTTTTGCCATTAGGCACAACTCTGTCCTCCTGCCTGCTGGTGTCAACTCTGAAAAATGTATGTGCAATGGCTTTACTTTTGTGGGACTCTGTGTGTGTGGACACATGCATGTGTACCAGGTCTTCACCTGCTAATAGTGTCCCTTCTAACAGGTTGGGTGTGAAGGCTCAGATATCAAATCTCAGGCTTTCAATTCCAGAGCTACTGAACAAGGACATCAGCTTTGCTTGCTTGGGGTCTAGATTGCCTTGAATTTTTGATTACATCATGTATCTCTTTTGGTTAACCTTGTCCTGGTCTTGAATAGGTCTTGAATTGACTTCTCAATACCTTGTTATAATCAAATTATTTTAAAAAATTTTTTTGTAGTTGTAGATGGACAGAATGCCTTTATTTGTTTATTTTTATGTGGTGCTAAGGATCAAACCCAGTGCTTCACACATGCTAGGCAAGTGCTTTGCCACTGAGCTACAGCCCCAACCCCAAATTATTTTCATAGTTTTGAAAAAGGGTATGTAGCAACTGTGATGAGTTCGTTTATGAATTAAATAGATGATCTCCCCACACCCACACCCACTCCTGGCTTTTTTTTTAAGCAGTCTCCTTTTTTTAACCTTTATTTTATTTAATTTATTTTTTTAAGAGAGAATTTTTTTTTAAAGAGAGAGGGGAGAGAGAGAGAATTTTTTTGAGAGAGAATTTTTTTAATATTTATTTTTTAGTTTTCGGTGGACACAACATCTTTATTTTTATGTGGTGCTGAGGATCGAACCCAGCGCCCCGCGCATGTCAGGCGAGTGCGCTACCGTTTGAGCCACATCCGCAGCCCCTATTTATTTTTATGTGGTGCTGAGGATTGAGCCCAGTGCCTCGCATGTGCTAGGCAAGCACTCTATCACTAAGCCACAACCCCAGCCCCATTCCTGGCTTCTTGATCTTCATCCTCACAGCTTTTTTTTTTAAAGTATTTGTTTTTTAGTTATAGTTGGGCACAATACCTTTATTTTATTTATTTATTTTTATGTGATACAGCACATAAAATGAAGTGACAGTGTCTACCTTAAACCTAAAAGCATATGAGAAGATAAGTGGGGGTTTGCCCTCAAATTCAGGGCATGCAGTCCTGTCATATTAGTTTAATTGTGTGTGTTTCTATGTGGGGTGGGGGATGGAACAGTCAAACCCAGGACCTTGCATGTGCTAGGCAAGTACTGCACCACTGAGCCACAACCCTAGCCCCATCCTCACAGCTTTTTGATTTTTCCACCAAAACGATATAAATCTGCCACTTTGGCTGTTGTATAAAATCCTTAAATTGGGGTTTTAGCATTTGGGTTGCTTCTACCTAGAGGTTCCAGTTTGGTAACCTCTAGCCATATGTGGCTCTTTACATTTAAATTAGTTGAAATGCAATAAAATAGAATAGTTCTTTAGTTAGACTAGTCCTGTTTTAAGTGTTTCATAGGCATAGGTGATTACTGTGTGGAACAGCAAAGAGGTAATGTATTCCTCGTTGCCAAGGTTCCCTTAGAAAATGTTTTTCTAGAAAAAGGAGGGGAGGGCAACTATTGAGCCATCCCAGGTGTGTTTTGAAGGGTCATAGAAGTGACACTTAAGCACTTCTTATCTCCTGTTCTCATAGCAAGTCAAGGCTGAGTTTGATTGTATCTTTCCATCTCCTTGTACTGTCATATGTGGTTCAGTCTGGGATTGATTGAATGAGCTGAAGAACGTCACAGGCACCTAAGCAAGAACAAGTGGACACTGTTGGGGAAGAAAACTACCCAGCACCTTTTAAAAATCGTGGCTGTGTGTGTGTATAATATATATAAAATATATAACAAAATTTACCAATTTAACTGTTTTTAAAGTGTGTGTTTCAGTGGCACACTTAAAATGTTATGCAATCTTATTATTTTAAGACTATTTTTCAGCCAGGCTTGGTGGTGCATGCCTGTAATCCCAGCAGCTCAGAATGCTGAGGCAGGAGGATTGTGAGTTCAAAACCAGCCTTAGCAATTTAGTGAGGCCCTAAGCAACTTAGCAAGACCCTGTCTCAAATATTTGATAATATTTAGATAAAATAAATAAATAAATTAGATGAATAAATAAAAGGGCTGGGATGTGGCTCAGTGGTTAAACATCCCTGGGTTCAATCCCTGGTACCAAAAAAAAAAAAACCCGAAACAAAACAAAAAGACAAAGAAGGAACACTGAGGCTCACAGTAAAATTGAGAGGAAAGTACAGAAATTTCCCATGGCCTCTTGCACTGCTGCCCACAATGAGCTCCTCCACTCTCAGCATCCTCCAACACAGTAGTACACGTACACTGACAGGTCATTATCACTCCAAGTCTTTAATTTACATTAGATTACACTCTTGGTGTTGTATGTTCTGTGTGTTTGGACAAATGTGTAAACACATGTATATGCCATTATCATATCGTGCAGAGTATGAGAAAATCTTCTTATGCATATTGAACAATTTGGGTTTTATCATCTCAGATTGAAACTCTGTACCCATTAAATAATAACTCCCTATTATTCAGTCTCCCCCAACCCCTAGTAACCACTGTTTTACTTTGTTTTTATGAATTTTTGCCTGCTTTAGATAGTGCATATAAGTGGAATCATAGAATATTTGTCATTTTGTGACCGACTTATCTCACTTAATATAATGTCTCCAGGGTTCCCCCATATTTCAGTTTGTAGAATTGTTCTTAGAATTTAAATTTAGTTCCTTTTTTGAGCTGGGGTTGTAGCTCAGTGGTAGAGCGCTCGCCTAGCATGTGCAGGGCCCTGGGTTCAATCCTCAGCACCACATAAAAATAAAATAAAGGTATTGTGTCCAACTACAACTAAAACAAAGTATTTTTTAAAAAGAATTTAGTTCCTTTTTAATGCTAAATAATAATGTCACATATATATATGTACACATTGTTTATCCATCAATGAACATTTGGGTTGCTTCTACCTTTGACTATTGTGAATAATGCTGCTTTGAACATGGGTGTACATGTATCTGTTTGAATCCCTAGTTTTATTTCTTTTGGGTATATACTCACAAGTGGAGTTGCTAGGGCATATGATAATTCTGTTTAATGTTTTTGAGGAGCATCCCATTTACTTTTAGCAGAGCTGGTGGCCATCTCTTTGTGTCCTTAGCTCCTAGAAAGATCACATTTGATTGGATTATTCTAGCATCTATCATCCATTGCAAAAAGGAGTCCTGAAAACTGTAAAACCTGTCGATTCAAGTGTCAATTGCCCAGTTACTTCCAGTATTACAGAACAAAGAATGTCCCTCTTTTCCTAAGACAAACTCCTTCAGGATATGCCTTTGGTTTGCCTATCTTGTCATTTTACTAGAATCCCTAGTTATGACCTTAGCTCGTGCAG